TAGGCGAAGCCATCACAATATCAAAGGCCTAATCCCTGCAATTCTGACTCAGGTGACAGTTCACAGGGGTCAGAGTGGCTGACACTGACCTCAAAAGCAGGTTTTAACTATTCAACATACTGAAAGCTGCTGGGCTATCACACCATTAGACTGGAACAAACTGACAAATCAATTTCATCAAGGAGATGACTTTTTTTGGAGGGGGTGGAAAGAGGCAGATCCACCAATCAACAAATCCCTGCATTTCTCACACAGGTGGTTGGACAAAAGCTGAGTGCACCATCAAAGACATTCTATATCTACCAAATGCCTTTGTACAAAACTAACTCCCACAATTTCCTTAGGGACAGCTCTAAATGTTTTAAACAAATATTTTTTGCATATTCAAACTAAATTATTGGCTGTGAAAATAGTTTTAAATTCCTCCATTTCTTGCTTTGAAAGAACGGGTCTAGTTTAATTAAAACCAACCAGAGTAGGCAACAATGTCAATAAATAATCATTACCCAATTTTGAGAAAGACAAAGAACAATATAGCGTATAAAAATGCATTGCTTTCTATTTGAAAAGAAGGTACAATGCTTACCATTAAGTCATTTTAATCGAATATTTTTTCATAGATAATGATTTGGTCCCTAATAGCAGACCAAAAAAAAAAAAGTTCACTATAGGAAGCTTACAGTAAATTTCATGTCCTACTGACAACAGGTTTCTGGTTGCTTCTTTCTCTTTAGTTAAAGCAAAAAATGCAGGTAGCCAAAGCCAGACATTTTATTTTAAAACTGTACCTTTTAAAGGTATACTCAGGCTACAAAAGGCCCTAAAAATTCCTGACTTTCAGTTAGAATTTAGTGCAGAGCAGGACTACAGCATGAAGAAAACTTGACAAAAGGCAAAAGTTACCTATTTGGTATTTAAACTCAGCTTGACATTTTAAAACTTCATGCTACAGTTTCAGGAAACCTTCGGAAGCTCAAGAACTGCTCATTTAAGTTACAGACTCTACACAACAAACTATTTGAGAAGCTTTCCTTCCTGACTGTCCAAAGAATGAAGAATTGAACTAGTCAGAGCATTAGAATTCAGATTCCAGAACAGTTAAGGTTTGATGTAAATGTCTTCATTAAATGTCTGAAAAATTAAAATGTTGCCAAAATTACTACCAAACCAGTAAATTAAAATGTGCTCCCTCTTTTTTTGAAGAGCCTCACTTCAGCTCTTACATCAAGTTGTTAAAGATACATAGATTTATTTGTAAACGAGTTTTAAAATATTTAGAAAATTGTTGCATTTGTTATTGGTTTAGATTAATAATTTTTGGGGCATTTCTGCTCTAAGCATTTGAACAAAGTAACTGTGAGCAATGAATGTTTTTCTTTTCAAGAACTGCCTTTGTAAAAAAAAGAAAAAAATCACTCAGTAGTTCCATGCACTTTAAAACGCTCAGTAAGAGATGCTGCAAGATTAAAAGCTCAATCAGAAGGGACTGAATCTAATTGCAATTATAGAATTAAAAGATTTTCCCTCCTAATACTTCTTATCTCTTTAAAGCTCTATCTTTATAAAATTTCATGGACTGAAGAAGCACTCTCATCTGTTGCAGAAACAAAGCCATTCCATAAAGAACATTGCGTCCCAAAGAATTTTAGCCACAACAACAAACTGATCAATTGAGAGTTTTTCTGTTTATGAAAACAACCACTTTAAGTTACAGGATTAAAGAAACACTGAAAAATTATATCTCAAACTATTTAAGATTTCAAAAGATCAGCACACTGGGATAGGCTCAGAATTGGGCAGTGTCACATGCAGGACAGGAAGAGCTGCCAACAGTCTTACTGGCCCACCCAGCTACACTTGTCCCCAGTTACCTACCACCTAGAAAGACAATGCAGACAAACTTTGCAAGGTAACTATGTCTTCCCTAGAGTGTCGTTTCACCTTTTTGCTTGTTTCAAACAAATTGGCTTGTAGTTATCCTTGTAAGAAATAGGAACCCAAACCCAGATACTGGAATTATATAACCTGAAGAAAACACAAATAACAACAAAATCAAGGATGAACATGGGTAATTCTAGATCTAGGAAAGAAACGGTTTCTTCTGATCATCTGAAGGGAAAGATTTTTGTGTAAGAGTTACCAAGGTATCCAGGAATTATGCATTCCTTTTATGAGTAACGGAAACGGCCTGAAATCTATTTCAAGTGAAGCATTTCCTCACAGAAATGTACTGTCATTACTTTCCATTCATCCCATCTTTCCAAGAATATTTAAAGGAATTCAAAGCTCCTGTGCTGAACCTGAACTACTTTTAGTCCTAAAGCCTTATTTTAAGATTTATGATCATAAAAGTTAATTTCTCAAACAAAGCCAACCCACCCATTCACACCCACTCACCAAACGAAAGCCCTGCAGGAGGCTCTGAGTCCAGAGAGAAAACCAGAACAGCAGTTAGTCCAAGTTGTCAGAGACACCACCAGGGAACAGGTTAGATGAGAATGACACTACCAGAGACACACATGGCACTTGGAATGAGGTGAAGGTACGGAAGACAGTAAATCATATTTGTGAGCATCCGATGTAATATTTTTCCATTACATCTCCACACAAAACCCTGGAAAGTGACCCTAAAGTCACACATGGAACTATACACAGATGATACAGAAGCTATTCCATCCATTAACACCACTACCAAGAGAAAAGACACAGGGATGTCGTGGTACAGACTATACACATGCTGGGGAAGCCTAAATCTGTACTTCTCAAACCACTACAGCCAGAGTATCAATTAAATTCTATCTACGCCTTTGTAGTGTAAAGGTCACTTGTTAAAATCTTCCTTTAAAATCCTTTCCAGTGCATTTTTTTAATGCCTAATTCTGATGTCTTGAATTCAAAATGTAGATTTGGAATTTTTTTAATTATTATTTTTAATACTTTGCCATTACCCTTCCACTTTGCAACTAAAGTCAGAGAAGCATTTGTTGATAAACTTCCTCTGATCCACCTTTCAAACATTATGTTTTTGGGAAAGAATCATGTTATATTGGTAACATTTATTAAAGTGACATTAAACACAGATGTATTCAGAGCAGTGTTAAAACACAAAGATGGGGAAAAAACGATGACGTGTAATCCAGAATTTTAGGAAGGCCCTTGTGAATAGTGTTGAATGAAACCTTTTCTCTCTTCGCTCATCACTATGGTAATGTTTATGCACCTCTAGCCAGGGTTGTGCTACTGGTTTCTTTTGCACTGCTCCATCCCCTGTTGCAGCCCTAAACCAATCCACCTTTAGGGCTGCTCTCAGAGTTCTATCCACAAGGTCCTCTCTAAAAATTTAGATTGTTTTCCCAGTCCTGACAAGGTGTTCTGATGCATAAAATACATTTCATTTTTTTTTCTTCATCTAGCCAAAAAGAGAAAGAAGGAAACTACAAATAAGCATACATGATAGATATTCTTTAAGTCTGGCCATCAGTGAAATGAATGAGCCTTACATTTACCAAGGGGAAAAAAAAAAAAAGTCAAACAAGGAAAGATACATAGAAAAGAAAGATTTGCCACGGATGCTGCATTTCCAGAAGCAAATGCATATGAAACTACTGCTATTCTTGAAAACGCTCTATGATCAGGACCTATCCTGCATCCAATGCAGTCAGCTATAGAATAAGCACTTTCCATAAATCTGAAGTGGAAGCGGTTGTTCATTTATTTTTATGTTTCTTACTTTTGTAAAGCCATCCAGATAAGAACCACTTTGACTGGTAACCTCCCTGACTCTATACACAGCCGTTCTGAGATATATAGGAGTGCCACATTCACATCAATGGCATATGAACTTTGAAACCTCGCAATGGCTCAAATGTCAACATTAGATGGGATTTTTCAAAGGTGCTTAGCCAATTACACAGAATCACAGAATGGTCAGGGTTGGAAGAGACCTCTGGAGATCATCTAGTCCAACCCCCAATTAATCAACCTTATGATTCCAAAGTGCCCCACTGAAAACCCAAGGCACTGTCAGCTGCTTTGCTGATGACCACCTTAACAGAAATATCCAACCAATGTATCTGTTCAGCAATTCCAAATTTCTTCTCACTAAAACAAACCTACCCTAAACTTTACCTTTCCTTTCTTTTATCTTAGATACTGGCATAGTTGACATTTATGTATTTATGCTGGCAATACTGTTGTGATGTAGGGAAGTGCTGTTATTTCCATTTTACACATCATGTCAATCCAGGCAGAGCAGGACACAGGAGCTGTATGCTAGCCCTCAAAACGTAACAACACAATCATAACTTGTGAATTAAAAAGATCTGTGACTTGCCCGGAACTTAAAAGCGTGAGTTCAGCATATGTTCTTTTTAAAAGCAAAATAAGCGCTGATTGTATTATTCACATCAAGAGAGGGTGCTCTGTTTTTTAATCTAAATGAAGCGGTTCTAGTTTACGGGCCGCCACACCACAACAGGCGGACTCCGGGAAGCTTGCTTCAGAACTGCTGCTTGTTGAACATTACGTGAAGCCTCACAAATACCCATTCAGAAAAGCACCTACACACAAGAAAGACCCAGAAGCAAGGCAACTGAGGGGTACATACTGAACGCTACTTTCCTTACACCAAAGGAACACCAAGATTTTGTAGCGTAATAAATGTAAGATGTCCCCAGCTACAACACAGTATAACTGTTAGAGGAGTGCTGTGTAACATAGTACACGCACATCTGTAAGAAAGTACTACTCAGACAAACAAATTCTGCTACCTTAGTCAAAAAGGTAACTTTTTGTCATACTAAAAATGTCCAGCTTTCAAGGCATGTTAATTCTAGAGAGGAAGAGTTTCTTTTTGCTTTACCTTCAATTATTTTTGCCTCGAACAATTAAAGCATATACATCTTATCTGTAAACTAGTATCAAAGCCATCCTGTACAAATCTCTACTTTATTAACACAGCAGGAGAAATTGAAAAGCATTTAACAAGTCACTCTCCTTACCTTCAGCACAGCAATGAATGGCACAAAATTAGCTCTCTGAAGACCATTTTTATAGAGATCTGAAAGAAAGGAAATCAGTACCATTTTGCTACTTAGTCAATAACAATGTCAGCTTGTCTTTTAGTCTGGCAAATAAAACTCTGTGTTGCTAGAGAGAGGAGGAACAAAAGGGGGAAAAGGAGGGCTGAAATCTATTTATCTTCTTTTGCTGTATGAAAATTCAATACATTCTCAAGGAAGACAGAACATCCTGAGAAAGTCTGAAAAAGGAAGGAAGTGAAAGATTACTTAAATCTCTAATGACATAGAGCTGATTTTAGCAGAAGAAATAAGACTAGCATCTGTTTTAAAGTAAGGATATAAAAAAGGATTTGTAATGCTAGGTATACGTTGGTATGATTATAAGGCCAAAACTATGCAACTGCTAAGTACCAAGTATTTGGCACAGGGGAAAAACCCAAGGTAAGCTAAGAAAAAAAAGAAAGCTATTTGAGTTTACAAAGTTAGTATAATTCTTATTCAGTGTACTGTGGTACACTTTATCTTCTAGCAATTCTACCACATACACCCCCTTTTCCAAAGCAAGAAAAAGCGTCATCCCTAAGGCCAAAAAAAGAAAATTAAATTAATACATAATTCTATGCAAAGTTGCTAAAAATACAACTGAATTAAAAAAAAAAAAGGATGTTATGTAACAAAATGCAGATCTGCACTCAAAGAAAATGGATATTAATTAAAAAAACTAGAAAGCTGCACTTCATATCTTATTTATCTCTTTATTTTATACAGCATAAACTTTTCTTGAAACTATTCAACTGCCCAACATGTTCATAACAGAATTACTTGTTCTTTGAAAATGTTATCACTGTATGATGGGCTGCTCTGTTTCTTTAATGTTACGAAGCCTTATAAAAAGGCAGTACAGCACCTATGAATGTCAGGAGGAATAAATAAGAGAATACATATACCTGGCAGAGATGTCACCAAAATTCCCAAAAAAGAGAAGGTCCAGTTACTAATACCACCTATATTCCCCATAATGCTTGAAGGCTAAAAGTAGGCTAAGGCTTTTATGCTCTACCAACACCTCATGGTGGACAGAAGATACAGTATGCATGAGAAACCAACAGGACACCTACAAAACGGTTTTCAAAAAATTGGATACGTACACAGAAACATTTAGGAAAATTATCCATGAAGCTCATTCCACACCCTAATTACTAACAAAGCTGTATGAAGTCATGTATCACTCTCATTCCTAACTCTGCAGATCATGATAGCAATATATTTGTTAAAACAGCGATCAACTTTTTACTTGCAAAAATTAGCAAATGTAATAGTACTACAAGACAGCTACTTCTGTTAGTTCTTCTAGTTAATAAGGCTGTGAGTTTTGTATTATGTCTCTGTTTTGTGAGGACAAGAAAAATAAACAGTAATTTTGGTGGAGAAATGAAGCCAGGATTCCCTAAACACTGCACCTGAGTATTTCCCTTCATATTCCCCTGAGGCAGAAGTTTAACACGGGTAAGTGTATCACAAACGGTCATCAGCTGGGTGCATCTGCTCTCTAATGAAAAAGCCACTTTTCCCCCTTGGTATCCACAGGAAACAAATCTCTCAATTCAGTCTTAAACCTTGATGTAGCATACTACACTAACCCAACTCTTCTTCCTGTGGGAGGATTTCAGACACACACCATTGAGCACACAGGAATAGTGAGAAGGGAGGAAGAGACAGGCATTGACCAATATCTGGACTGCAACGTGGCTCAGTTTGGGAGATGCTGTTCTTGACCTTCTCTGTTGGGTAGCTAGTACAAGTGGACATCTTTCAGGTTGGCACAGTAACTTAATATGTATTAAAAAACTCACATGACGATAATGGTCACAAACTGATATCTTAAATTAAAGATGTGGTATAAATCCCCAAGTTTGATAAAAATCTCTCCTGAACTTCAAAGAGTAGTGCTTCAAAACACACGAGGATGGTTGCCAACTGAATGAGGCACCAGCATCCAGTTTATCTGGAGTTCACCTAGGTACAGCAGTTATTTCACTTTGTTTGCTCAAACAAGGAAAATAAACCATCCGGACATTATTTCCCCTCCAGTAACAACATTTGAGTGCATTGTAAATCTTTAGTGATTCTCTTTTACCCAATTAATGTGGGTGGAAAAATTAAATGGTAGTTACAGTTAATACTGTAACTCTTTAGGGCAAACATTTGAAATTAATCTGAAGTGTCATAAAAGTTGCACAGAAATCATGCACTATGCTAACTGCTAACACTACAACATTTTGCTCATCTACAAAATACTGCAATTACTGCTTGGTTAAAACCCATACAGACTTGGGGGCTTTATAGATCTACCTAGCTAGCCATGCTCTATCTAAAAACATTGTTAGAAATGGTAATAGCTCTTCACCTAAGTAATTCCCAATGAGTAACCTCAAACCAGGCTGTGAGAATGACATATTGATAAGGGGCACAACTTCTTTAAGCTGGTGAATCAAGTCTGCAAGTTTCCTAGTTACAAACCAGGAGGGAATGTACTCTCATTTCCCCTCTCTTCTGCTGAATATGATCTTTTCCTACCGTGGAATACAGCCAAAACAGAGGCAATATTTCACCCCTCCTCAATTCCCCTGTCCCCAGATACCCTCCCACTAGTTTGGATAGAGTAGAGAGCATCAGAAAACATGAAAAGACTTGAGGGGAGGTGGGGGGAGGAACACCTTGAGTTTGAGAAAAGACAGGAGTAAGAGTTAGTGAAAAACCTTTCTTCCTTAAGAACATGAAAAAACAGGGTACAAATTGGAGTATCTCAGATTCTTGAAGACTAGAGAGTTTATTAGCATTAAACATTATATGACTTGAATTAAATTGTTTTGTAAGATACTGAGATTCATTGTATTTGGATAATACTAGTAGCATGTTTGTTTTTACCTTCTGGCGGCCTGTTAGATGTTGCCACAACGACAACCCCATTTTGGAACAGATTTTCAAAAAGCTGCTTGAGAATCATGGCATCAGCAATGTCAGTGACCTGTAGAAGACAACACATTTGTTTTATCTTGCTTTCAGCTTCTGCCGCAATAGATCTGCAAGTGGCTTTATAGCTAGGAAAAATGCTTGTTAGTGAAAGCCATGGAGAAAGATTCTAATTATTGCTTGGTGGGGGAAAAAAAAAAAGGGGGGGGATAATTAATAAGCAGTGAATGTACCACGGTCTTTCAAAACTTGCCCGCTCTTTATTTCAGAACTCCACCATTTCTTTACCAATTGCTGAATGATTCCATGTTAACTTCTATTATAAAACTACAGGTGGGAGACACAGAAAACAGACCTAAACATTTAAGAGGCCTAATTAATTAGAAACAACAGGAAAAAAACCCAGAAGACAAAGAAAATACACACCGATTGTTTTAGATTTCTATTACCTCTGAGGCAAAGGTTTACAGAGGTGAATTTAAATGGTCATGGGACTTCAGAAATAAAGACAAGTAGCCAACTATACATAATCAGCTGCTGTTGAAAATAGAATGATATGACATAGATACTATTGTGTGATTGTTGCAAAAAACAATTCAACAGATGGCCCATCACAAAAATAAGCAATTTCATTGTTCTTTTTAAGTGCCTTCTATTACTGTCCATGAATAATCAAAAGGCACGGCAGTCACTTCCAGCACAGTCAGCCTCTTCTAACCTTCAGGCACAAAACACTAACAAAAAATAAAAATGGATGGGACAAGTGATACTGGGGAGGAAAAAAAAGAAAGACAAAAAGACTGAAAAATAAGCCATAAAGTAGAATTTCTTTAAATATGTAAGTTTAGCTAAACTACCTTGCTTCACAGTACCAAAATATAACGGGAATGCAAAACAGAAACCACTCTGTACAAATTTTAAAAATGTAATTTTTTTTTTTCTGAACAAAAAGCCCCCATTGTTACAACAGCAATTTCTATTTCACAGGAGTTCACCAGCTGAGATCAGCAATCCTAACAAGTAAACCAGCTTTATTATCATTACACTTGTTTCTCCTGCATCCCTTTGATTATTATATAGTCACTTGTTGCATTCAGACTTACCAAAGCAGACTGCAGGAAAATAAAAAAAAACAGACTTACCAAAGCAGACTGAGGAAATAAAAAAGTGGTGGCATGCCAAGAGTTATACACACTCATTACACGACAGATTGACAGATTGCTATGCTTTCACCAGTTTAGATGTGTATGTTGTGATGGTAACACATCTGCAGAAAGACTTTAACCAGTATAATTTTTTTCCTAATCCACCACCTCCCCTCCCCAATTTCTAAATGGCCTTTCTGGACAGAAAAAAAAATAATAATTCTACACTAGAGACAGTATAAGACTTAGGTTACACTTCTGAGAGCTAGTTTGGAAACAATAATGTTCATAGAGAATAATAAGAAAACACCACTTTCCTTCTTCCAAAGATTTCTTCTAATTAGGTCTATGGAATCATTAATACAGATTTTTATTTTCTTTTTCAAAATGAAATCGTTCTACACGATCAGTAACACACACCTCACATCAGCGCATCTCTGATCACTAAGATTCCATATTCCAAAAAGCACGTAGAAATTTGCTATTGTACTATATGTTTAATGTAGCTGCTTATGCACCCACCTATCAATAATTTATTTCTTCTAAATACTAAAATTTAGGAAGTTTCCCTGTTCCTAAAAAAACACCACACACAAAGAATCAGTACATATGGTAATAGCCAAGTTTTTAAAATGTATTATATAGATCATTTTGTTACAAACTTTTTTGTTTAAAAATATTATAAGGCACGCTACCTTAAAAAAACAGGGAGAGAAAAAAATATTAAAGCTTAGATAAAAGAAAACAATAACATTCTTTAATTAATGAGAATTGTTAGTTGATGCTGAATTATGATATTTTCACTTCATTACAAAAAAATGACTCTTGAAAGTTCTGTCAAAAAGCAAGAGCAACTTTGAGAACTGGGATGCAAATGTGAGCTCTTTTTATCTACAACAGCTTGGGAAAGATAGAAAATTTCTACAAGGTAAAGCAGGTAGAAGAGAGTAACTAAAACACTGTAATTTCTCATGGTTTTTACTGTATCCAGCATCCATTGCAACAGGGAACAAAAGCAAAGGCTACAAATTACCAATAAGGAGAGCCTGCTAATGGAGAGAATGGAGAAATTTCATTAGCATTTAAGAGAAAAGATTTTTATGACCTAGTGCTGCTTTCCATTATGACTCACGTAAAAAAAAAAAAAGAAAAGAAAAAAGAAAAAGAGAAAAAACACCAGACTAATAGTTAATTTACATGTGTAAGTGGCTGAGACTCAGTCATCCACTGATTGGTACAGTTCCATGTAATGAATGACAAACATAAGCATGTATTATCAGTAATTAGTATTAGCACAAAAATAAGAGCCTAATTTTTATTAGAGGCTTTTAATAGCATGCAGGTTAGTAAAAACTCCCTAAATTGTAGTTTGCTTTAAATCCAAGTGGTACCAATGGTATATATAAAGACTAACACTGTATGATCATCCAGCTTACCAAGAAGGAGGGATTCTGTTTTCATTATCAATACTAACATAGGTTAAAGTCACACGCCAAAATTAGAACTTCTAATTACCTGTGTATAGTTATTTCATCACTAAACAATAACCAGTCTCTTTTTGTTGGCCACCCTCTGTGTTTTGAAACATCAAAATTGTAATTATAAATGGCTTAATTCTACGGTTTTTCTTCAGAATGAGGACTCGTTTTTAGAATGGCTTAAGACTTCTGTGATTAAAAAAAAAACTTTAATAATTACAGTAAACTGTATGACAAAGATCAGTAAGAAGTAACAATGCTTTAATAACCTGAGAGTCTGTGCTCAGGCAAATGCTGACTAAGAAACTGCTTCAGAATGCACAAACTCAGAATCTTAGTGCCATCACTAAGGTCTGGGCTATTGTGCAGTATTTGCAAAAAGAAAAATTTAAGACATAGTAATTTTTTTTTAACACAACAATATTTTGGAACACACAAAACTACTTTTAAAAGTACTGAAATATTTTTCTACATCAGTTAGTTAACTCTCCACTTGTTTGACAATTCTCTAGGCTTTGCAAGAAGATCCACTTGGAGAATTTCTGTTTCACTTTAGCCCACTGTCGAAGAGGAACGTGCAACCTCAACAATGCTTCTGCCTTTTGAAGTTCTGCATTTGGTTCCCTCTGAAATCTGAGCATTAACAATACTTCTTGCTGTCCCCATTACGATATCACTCGTCAGTGTGTCTGATTTTAAGATAAGTAAATAAATAATTTCAGCTTATTCTCCTTTTATTTTTTCCCTCAAGAGGTATTTGAAAGTAATTTGAAGTGTTTAAAGCAAATCTCCACAATTTTCTGATGTTTCCTTCACACACAAGTATTTTGCCAAGGTAGCATAGACCTAACTTGACTTTCCAACTGTCAAAACAGACAGTAACTTTGTCTGCAAGTCTGAGCAGTGTATGTTCTGAGCCTCCAGTTCTTTCTAGTTTCATTTTATTCTAACAATTCTTTAAATATGTGTGAATCAAATTGCAGTGAAATGCAGCCATTACCTCCACTGGGGAAATGAGCTGGAAACATCCTGAATTAGATACGGCTCCTTATTATCAATGATAATTGTGTCACCATGTGAACTGCTCTTCCAGTCACTGCACTACTTTATGACAATTTAAGCAGAAGGTTTCTTATCCCAAATTCAGTGCCTTCTGCAAAAGTTCAGAAAGCTGGGACTCTTCTTCAGTAGCCAAAGCCTGCATAGCGTTTCAGGCTACAGAAAATCACTCAAGAAATACAGCTGTTCAGAAATCAGAATTTAGAACATTAGTGCACCAAGAACAAGTAGATTTTTAAAATTCACATAAGAATGCAAAGTCTTAGATACACATTTTAAAGTATAGTTCTTGTATGACTTTCCCAGCTGTGACCCACAGACAAAACCAGGTGATTTTTACGAGTGAATTGATTGATGTACCTCAAGCAAGTCAGCAGGGGGAGCAAGCAATCAATTTGGAAACGAGAAATGCCAGAAAAATTCTGAGAATGCCAGATAAATTCTCGCCCCTTAAAATGTGGGAACATGACAGACAGCCTGGAAACAGCAACATCAGGACATGAAAGCAGTGGGCACTTATACAGAAAAGCAGGTATTTGCACTAATACATGGTACAGCAAAGATGCTTACCATTTGAGCATTTGATGTCATAACAGTTAACGCTCCTCCCTGCCCCCTCCAAACCTCCCCATTTCTTTATAGTGTAAATACAACTGTCTCTATATTTAGATTTTATACTGCAAGTTTTGGAAGCCCAGCATTCATATTCACTAGATAAAGCACAATTTAAATGATCAAACAGCAGCAATTGCAATGACCCCACATATTCTGAAACCACAGATCAAAGGACTACCCATTGTCGAACAATGCAAGAGTAACTTAAAAAACAAGAAGACCTACAACTTTACAGCTATAAAAATCCCCTTCATGGGAGCTGATTGTAAACCAGTTATTTTCTCAGGTGCACAGACTTGTAAAATAACAGCTAGGAAATATAAATTGCTCTATTTCAGTAATGTATTAATTTAAGAGCACAACAGACCATTTACACTTAATAGACGATTCTTTTAGTATTGGTGATCTGAGAACTGTCACAGATCTTTTCTTAGCTTGCTCTGCATTTTTCTCTCTGAATTAAAAAAAATCTCAGCTGATTAGAGTTGCCAAATACCTCTAGCTTCTCTTCTAAAAATTTTCACAAAGCAATTCTACACTTAAATTTGTGACATGCCCTTAAAACAAAATTCAGAAGCTGTGTAAAACAAATGAAACAACCAAGTTAGCTTGGGCAAAGATAATTTTATGAGTTTATTTTTAATTTTCACATTTAATTCAATAAAAGTTTCTTAAAATGTTAGTTACATGGATATAATCTGGCACTGCCATGCCAAGGCTCCAATAACTCTAGGAAAGAATTTAGGTTGAATTCGACATGTTATTTTGACATCCTTAATCACACTGAGACAATGTTGTTGCACTATATTAACCACATCAAAGATCAGGCATGCCAAGCAAGTATCGGGCAACTACTCTCCTGGGCACTGTACAGCCTCAGTACGGGATGACGGTTCCTGCCCTGAAGTACTCGTGAGCCTTTCACCAAAGTCCAATACTCCCTTGTATGACTAGTAACTAGACTGGTGAATGAAAGCACTAGAAGGGGACTTAAACCACCAAATTGCATCTTACCTCCCGGAAAAAAACCCACCCACCATCTTCAAAACTGTGAAACGACTTCTACTCTTCAACTCCTACAGTTCACTACTGGCCAGTGATTCAAATACCGTATTAGCAGTAACAAATGTCATATTTTAAGATGAAAAGTAATTTCATTAAGTTTCCCTTGAAGTGAAGGAGTAATCTCTGATTTCTTACCTGAAATTCATCAAAACATAAGAGAGCAGCTTCTTCACTTATTTCCTCTGCTACTGGTGCAATTGGGTCATATGACTTTGCCATAAATCCTGCCTTTCTTTTTGGCAAGCTCTGCTTAAGGCGATGTATTCCTCAGTTGATAAAACAGAAAAGAACAAATATTTCTTATTTCTTTTTCTAAGATAGGGAGAACAAAATTATTTAGCTACCAAATAAAAAGACATCCAGTCCTGTAAAAATATGAAAGCTTCAAATTTAGCCAAATTTCAAGAGGGCAAAACAGTTTTCAACCACATCCAGGCAACTATTAAAAGCTCCCAGATTCTGTGATTTGTATTTTCTTGTTTAGAAATATGTAAAACAAAAATCAAAGAACTCTTGAATGCTATGCACATATACTTTATCTCTTAAAAACTGATATAAATTACAGTTTAAAGATGCTCCAATTCATTACCTTAGTTTCAGTTTCACTTTATAATTCGGCATTTTCTGTCTTAATCGTCTCTCTGAGCACGCAAAACCCTTACGGTGTTTACAAATCAATGGCACAGCTCTGTGCACTGCATGCTCTAAAGCTACACTTAAAATGTATTTAGTTAAAAGAACTCAGACATAGCAACACAGTTATATTTTAAAATGTAAAGATGATGATACTGGCACAAACTAAGATTATTACATCCATCTTTACTGTCCAATGGACTGTATTCCATCTGACTATAAACAAACATTCAGAAAACAAAGATCCTGCAGTAAGAAGCTACCTTTGTTAAGATTAAGCGCAAACAACAAGAAAGGGACACAGAAAATTTCAAGTGACCCAACGATGATAGAAAAGAGGGCACTAAAAGTGGCAGAAGTTGTTTACATCAGTGAAAGCTTCCCAAGAAAAATGCAGCTGTCAAAATACTTGTAAATTACAGCATTATTTAACAATTTCACAGTATTTTAAGGTCATAGAATTTAGAAAGAAAAGCAAATTTTGAAATATTTAAAACAGTATCTCCGTCAAAACAAAGCACCTTATTCACCCTGTCAGAAAATTTTCTGAAACTCAAGATGAACTTCCTTCTATTTTTTTCCCCTCTAAGTTACTGATAGAATTACTAAGTTTGCCAACCAGAATAGTTCTCATTCTCCTTGGCATTTATACCTGATTTAGCTATTGCTTATTCAAAATGAAGACTGAATTTAACCTTTACTTTTTCAGTTTTAGCAAATGCTGCCATCAGATTGCACATAAGCTAACTGGTAACTGGAAAACATTTAGTTAAGGATTTAATCATAAATACATACCCAAGTTTTCTATACAATCAACTATACAGAATCTTTGAGAAAAAGATACTTGAGAAATAATATGCAATTAATATCTAGTCTGGTATGACAGACAATGCTAAAATCCTTTAACTTCTCTACTATTTTTTACTTAAATACTTTTAAATAAAGTTACGCTGATTAATATGGCTATGAGAATGAGACATACTTTTTAATAGATACCGTATTTAATAAAATTCTTGTAAATACCTGTGTCTGCACTTACTCTGGTGTACATCTAGCATGAAGCCATGAAAATGGACTCTCTTCTTCCTTTCTACTTCTAAGTGAGAATAGAACATGTCCATCACCATCGTCTTTCCTGTGCCTTCAAATAAAAAACAAAAAACCCACCCAACAGGTAGTTAGTTTAAGAATAGTATCTACTGATTACAATAGTGATTATTCATTATCTTTGAACTAATGCAACTACACTCTTCCACAGAATAAGTACAAGACCAGACTGTTTCTGAAAAACAGTTTTATTTTCTGTTCAAAAACTTGGAACTTTTATTTTTTCTGTTTTAAAATTTTGATCCATACAGAGATGGCCCAAAGGTTGCACAAATGGCTCCAAATGCAGCCAGAAAACATACTCAGTATTGCCTTTTGAAAAGCAAGTGTGTTTTTGTGCTGCATTGTTGCTATTAGAAGACATAAATTCTCTCCATGGCCCCCTAATTACTTCGCAATTTCTTAAATCGCATTCTTAAATATAAGTGAGTGGTTAGCACTGAAAAAAACTACACATGGTAATGTAGTTCAATCCAACAGCTTTTAGAATTCAGAGTGTAATTGTATTAAATAACATCATAAAGTGGAAGAAAACTAATCCTGGAAAATTCATTAAAGCAGTAATGCTACATAAACATAAAGCTTTTCAACACTTCAGAATTTGACTAAACATGCATTTAGAGAAAATTCCATTGAAATTGATGCAGCCAAAACTTACCAACATCTCCATAGACATAAAGACCTTTTGGAGGTTTGTTTTTTGTAAAGAGCTGCAAATCAAGAGAAGGAGAATAAATACAAATATGGGGTAAGACAAAAGCAAGCACATTGCTATGGTAGAGTAAGAAAGTAGCTACAGTTAACCACCAAAGTAGCACTAACTAGCAAAGTGTAACCTTGAATAAATCATCAGCTTAGAATTGGTAAGCAATCTTAATGTTGTTATTTGTGCAAATTCTATAAAAGAGGCCAAACACGCACGGTTTGTTTCTTTTCTCAGATCATCGTGAAAATGTCCCCATCCCTGCTGCAAGCACACACACCTTTTTACCAGAACACATATAAAATGATTAAATGTTTCCCAATCCATCATCATCACAACAAATCCCTTTCCTCATTAAGCCATTTCAAATGGTCCTAGGAAAAAGGATACAAAATTAAGTAGTATTGTAGTATTCATAGATATATATACCTATTATAGCAGCTCTGCTTAAGATATAAACCATTAGGATTTAGAAAAATCAGCATTGCAAAGCCAGTGAGCATTGTAGGTCCCCTTTCTCTCTGTTTTGAATCTTAAATGCAGAATCATCTCTGGTTTAAACATGATTAAAATCAATGGAGTCACAGTAAAAATATGTACCTATATACACGAGCATGTGTGTATATGTATAGATAAAAGTATGCCTTTCATTAATCATTTTCTCACATGAATTATGTTTATCTTGCATAAATACTGTTTAAGAATTTTTAATCTCTTAATATTACTCGGGACATCCATTATGATACCTGATGGTTTATCCTATTTTACTCAAATATATATTTTCACAGAAAAACTTGAGATAACATCAAGACTTTCAATTTGAAACAGTCCTTCCCCTCCAGTGCCGTGCATAGCCACTTACAAGTTTAATTCTAAAAAGAAACAGTTTCTAAAGATATAGAAATCCTAACAAAATTCTCATCAGATCCATGAAATTGAACGGACATCCACAAAAACACTGCAGAAGAGTATTTGGTTATTTTAAAGTGCTCCACTTTCAGAGTTCTATGAGCTGAACCAAAACAGAGGAAAATTAAAATTGCAACCCTGTGGACTCATTTGGAGCTGGGTAATTGCTAAACAACTTGAATCTAAAGCACTTTTCAAAATACAGTGCCATGTTAAAGAAATGGGGAATCAGTAGCAAAACACTAATTAAATATGAAAAAAAATATATGACCAAAAGGTAGAAAGATAATGTCTCAGGTCTATAGTACCAGTTTATTCAGAAAATATGCAAGCATAGCTCTTATATAAGACCCACTTATAGATTTAATTTAGAGCTATATTAATAGGATAATCAAAAAATTGTATCATCAATCTGTGACTGAACAGGGTTTCAGATGTTCTGAAACCATTCCATTAATAGACAAGGCTGCAACTATTTGCTAATGCTTTGAAAGCACTGCAAGACAATTTAATTGACGAACATTTTTCAGTGTGTACTTTTTAAGAGCTTGCATTCATTAAAACTACTGATGCTCAGTTACACAGTGAAGAAAGGAAAAACAGGAAAAAAACCCAAATGAGAGACATTCATAAGAATTTCTTTGAGATTAACAATAGTCACTTTAACAAAATAGAAGACTATCACATTAAATTTATTACATAAAGAGGCTGTATTAATGTGATTCGCAGTTTCACAAGGAATGACACAACGCTTGAAAAACAGATCAATGTTTAGAGTACTGCTTTACCTGTCTTTGTAAAGTTTACATAACCAGAACAAGTAGTAATGCCTACATTTTTACACCATTTTTTTTTCATTGTAAAGTGTTCATTAATTACATTTAACCATTTTGAAGTTCTTCTTTTTAGGCATATCTTATTCTCACTCTAGTACTTACCATTTCTTGAAAACATGTTAGAGGAAAAGGGTGTTTTGGCTAAAGGAAACAAATATAATGGCTTGGGCTCCATAAAAGTCTAAATAGTCTAAATCAACTTCCGGGTGATTTAAAAAATTAAATTAGTTTTTTTGTGAAGACAGCAATTTTTGAGTGATATCTAATTACTAAAAGAAAAAAATTGAAAAAGATGGATACTGTGGCAGATCCAAACACATTCACTGAAACTGATCACCTCTAAAAGCAAAGCAAATGCCAGAAAAACTCTTATCTTCTTCCAGTAATGAAAGACATTTGTACGAAATATTTTACATACACTTCTTCCAGAAGTGACACTATTAACACTTTTAGGATACTCACTTCCTCGATATTGTATAACACTAAGAATTTATTTTCATATTCTTACGTTGGGTTTTTTTTAATGTATAGTTTATTTAAAAAAAACCCTACACTTGATTCAGTAGATTTTAATATTGAAACTCGGACATCCTCAAGCTATTCTGCATGATCATAAAATGGATTATTTTTTTTAAATTACTTGTTAAAATTATTCTTATGCATCTTCTGAAGCCTGGAAGTTGTGTAAGAAAAGGAGAAACTTCCACTAGGATTTCTGATAAAATCCAATCAACGCTGTTGGTTCAACTTAGAGCACAGCAAGCAGTCAAGAAAGTCACAGGTATGAGGGGGCGAAGAAAGCAGAAGACTGATCTTGGCTCTATTGAAACACACACTCCAAAAGAAGGAGGGGGGAGATTTAATGCCAAAGATCCCCAGTTACCCTAAAATAAGGGTAGTCTTGTTTCAGGTACGGGAGAAAAATGAGAGACGTAGGAAGACAAACTAAATGAATGAGCTTCTCCTCTCTTCCATATTATCCAGAGGTATATTTGGGGTCTCAGTATAACATTCACTCCGTTGACAATAAATTTGCTTTTGCAACATTGATAAGGTTTAAGGATGTTATAGCCAGTATTTAAAATGTACAAACCCAAAGATATTAAGGGACGCACATTTGAGTTTGAAGGGGAGAACTCTGAAATCCTTAGATGTATGTTTTGAATGCTCACCACATTCTTTCAAACGAGGGTATCACAAGTGTGTCAAATCCCTTGAGTCCTCCCAAGTTTCTTAATTCCCATAACATTCTTTGCAATAACTTAAGAAAGCATAACTTAAGTGCTTCACCAAGTTTCATTATCATCAGGACATGCCACAGCAGGAGCTTTTTTCCTTTTATAGATCAGTGTACCTACAGATTTTTCTTTGAAAATCATTTATAAGCTAAAATGTTTACAATTCCACGAGATGACACACACATTAGTGTCCCCAGATTTACAACATTCTCTCCTCTACGATCAAAATGTTTAACACATTTCTGCTTCAAAATTGCATTCCTTGCTTTGATTCTATCGCATCAGATTTTTCTTTTTTGTTTAAACTTCACTTTAATCAATCAATACCCTACCTCATCTAAGGAATTATACTGGTCAAAACACCTCCTTCATTCTGACAACTTCCTATTCTTTCTTAAGTATCTTTAATATTGTCCAATGTCTTCCCACCTTCTCCCATGTTCCCTACCTCAGACACTAGAAGCCAGCAACTCACTTCCTGGGAATATTTACACTGATTTGAAAAATTTTTAAGTGAAAATGCATGTCAATACTAAGATGGTTAATTAAAATATGCAAAATTCAAGAGGCAAGTATCCAAACTGCAGATTCTTTTTGTAAACACTAACTGCCTCTTTCTCTCCCTCTTTCAGGCCTCCTTTTTAGTTGCTGTTGTAGCTGAAGACGTTTTCAAGGTCTTGAATGGTGTTTACTATTGTTCATACCTCTTTTCAAAACATGACCTCACTTATAATTGAGCTTATTTCAAGTCATTAGTACAGCAACTCAACAACTCTTAAGTTGTCCCAATTGGTATTATTTTGAAAAGCTAGAGATCTGAAACATCTATGCAAACCCTTACAGCCTTGAACTTCAATTCAGAGGATCTCAAATATCTCAACATACAAGGCCATGCTTTCACCAAGTTGAATTTGAATTGTTCAAATTTGAGTATTAATTTTGAAAAATGGAAGCCTACTTGGATTACAGCAAGACTAATTTTTTTCCCCCCTCAAATTCATTCTAAGCGGATGCCCCAAAAAATCTGCATCATAAATAATTACACAGTTTTATTATCATAAAGAAAATGGCTGGTGTCATGTCCCCTCCCCCAGACTACTGATTTCAAAAAGCTTTGGCCTGTGAGGTAATGGAAGTCTCTCAGATAAATGTTAAAACGCTTCTATTGTATTTGATATAAAGATTTGTTCCCTAATCCTACTTTTACCATATTTTTAGTGAATAAAACTATTTAGACAAAAAGTGACAAATAAAGAACAAAACTAAAACCAAAGCAGACCATTTTTGTAACGGTTCAGAAGTGCAAGAAGCTTCTATTTCTGGAATAACTGTTATTTTAGAATAAATCATGCAATAAAACAAGGAATATCAGACTACAGAAGAGGCTGACAGACAGAGGCTTCTCTCTTTCCCCCCTTTTCTTCACTGCAACCTCTCAACCACATTCTCTTCAATGACAGAGCCAGGAAAAATAAGCACGCTTGAAATGCCAAGCACCCTTATTTTTTTATTTCTAAAAAGCTGCCAGTAGTTTCTTTTCAACACAGGAGACTTCACACTAAAAGTATGTTAGTCAAGTTGCTAGAAACCTCCTGAAAAAGCAAAAAGTCAATTTACAACCTACTATGTGTAACTGATTAAAGTGTTTGACTTATTTCCAATAAGTCCTTAAGTAATTTAAAATATATCGATTTATTTTGTTTACATCTATTAAAACCCGTTAAGTAATATCATTAAGCAAAACCAATGCCAATCGTTTTATCACAAAATAATTGAACATCTATACTATAAGGTTTATCTTTTACTTCCTAGTGTATTCAAAGTTACAAAGTACCAGGCCTCCATGGGAGGACAGCGCCAACGAGCTATTCAAGAATACAGTATTTACCTGTGCCCTATATCATTAGTACTTCCTGGAGATGCCTCCTACTACCTACGTGAACTACTTTGACTCATAAGCCTACACAAATCCTATTAAACCCAGGCCAATTCCAGAGAGCAGTACTCACCACCTCTTCTAGGCACGGAAAGCCTTAGCTCTACTCATCAAAACTGAACCAAGTCTGCAACAGCAGACTGAAACTCCCTGAAAGTACCCTCTGAACAACTACCCTGGAAGTCCATCGTAGAAAAACACGTATTTTGCTTACTTAGAAAACTTCTCGACAGATGCAGACATATGACAAGCATATGATGCCGCTGTCTACAGCTGGTACAGTGCTTGATGGCTACGATTTTACCGACTACCTATTTCACAGCTGTGACTCTTATTCTGGGGAAAATCTTCATTAAGGATCCTGATTACAACTTTGCTGAAGCAAAGCCTGGCCTGCACTAGAATTTAAACCATACTTTCTTTGGCTTCATTTTATGTCAAAAGGAGCTCTGTTTGAACAGCCAAATAACCTCCTCAAAGACAGCAGCAGAGAAACATAGTTGTTGCGACTTCTTCTCCATCATGAATCATGATTTGATTTAATTACACAAGCTAGCAGGCTTTAACGGATTTACACAAGAGTCATTGCTCTCCTCTTTTTCTGGGGTTTTGATGTATGGCATGGCACTATAGTGCTCAACCTGGTTAGCAATCTTAAGATTTCCCCAGAGATATCTAGAAGAAAAACCTGCAGCAACATTTATCCGAATAGCAAGTAGTTCTACAGCTGCTTCTCACACACTGTGGCATTCCTTCCAAGGTATCAGTGAGCCATGCAACAAATTTTAAAAGCTGGTTTAGAATTAAAGCATGGAATTGAAGCAATGCTAAATCAAAGAGGCATACTTTAAAGGAACTAGTGAAAACCACATTCTCAAACTAAAAAAAATGGCATTTGACTTCTTCCTTTTAAGAAAGTGTCAGTCAGGCTGGCTGTACTGCGATTAGCTCTGTTATACAGGGACAAAGTAGCATCACAATTTCCTAAATAGAATAAGATTAGTATTTGTTCTCTGCAATAGAGACTTTCTTCCCTATTCATGCTTCCCAATCAAAGAAACAGTAAATAACAAACCCACATAATGCTTGATCTACAAAGCCATTACAAGACACCTGCTCTAACAACTATAATGATTCAGGGCACTCCAGTTAACACAAGTCAGCTCTCAAAACTATTCTCAAAGGCAGCGCTTTTAGAACAGAATATCCAAATGTCCAAAACAGTTTACCAGAAAAGATCAAAATGCTCTAGCCTACTGATCCCAGGTTTGACAGTAAGACCACTGCCTTCATCATAACATTTTTTCTAAAGAATGAAAATGAATACATGTCTGGCAGCATGTCCAAATCATAATGGAGGAGCAAGCCAGATAATGGGCTTCCTTTTGAGTGACTTCCTCTTTTACAGTCCAGGTACAATGTCTAAATACAATTTTGAGATAGGCAATTTAAAAGGTTACAAGCCCAACACCAAAGCTTAAAAAGAACCCCAGACAGATGAAAAAAAAACTTTTCACATTGAGCATCCTCAGGATACAAAACTCTGGCCTACCAGATCAGAAGTAGTTTGGCAAGCCGAATCCAGCTTGATTTCCTTACACTTATGCAAAAACAGTTCCCGTTCAGGCACACCTCCATTTTGCTTTGAATACCAAAGATAAGCAATAACCATTTTTGAAAGAGGAAATTTCTATTTTTTTTATTTGGTACTTGCTCAAATGGAATTAGGAGCTGGTTTGTAGGCTAACTCAAGAGTTTGCCTACAGAGGCATCAAGACAACATGGATCCACAAGGACACACCCACATATAATATAAATAAGTGTTTTAAAATACCATAAACATTCAATTTTCAGACTGTAGCTATAATTTTTACACTGGTTTTATGTTTTAAATAATTTTAATTAAAGAAAACCCAAAAGTAAAAAGGTAAGTAATATGATGAGCTGACCCAACAGCCAGAACAGGCAAAAATATACCCCAAACCATTGTTTGACCCCAATTCCCACATCAGAGTTAGAATCATTGAATGATTTAGGTCGGCAGGGACTTCGGGGGATCACACAGCCAAACCCCCTATTTAAAGCTCAAGTTTAATACCTCAAGTTGGAAGGGATACATAAGGATGATTGGGTCAACTGCTTCCAGAACAGAACTTCCAAAGACAGGCTCATTGCCCTCTAGAAGCAGTCTTGCCCTAGCACTTTGCTTCCTGTACTTCACTACTCTTGTGTTTTTCCTTCCAGAGTGCTTGACTTCTGCTTCATGGAATTATTTCCCATACAGGTTTCTTCTCACTGTACCTCAATTTAAAAAAAAAAAAAAAAAAAAGAGCTCCTTCCTAGGTGTTTAGTCTGTTGCCTTTCATCAGGAGGCAGGAGGCAGGAATACGGTTATGGCACTTCCAGTCAAGCATATACCTAGCAAATACATGATCTCCAGCTACATATGTGAGTTTAAAACATTCGAGGGATGTTGTAGGCAGTCTGATAGGCAAGCATGTGTCCCAATGCTCTGCTTTACTTGCCTATTTGAAACAGGCACATTTATGGGGATAACACAGGCCATTTACAGGTTTAACACTTGTTCCCTTACCAACGTTCTCTTCTCTACCTTTTTCATGCTTTGTAGCTAATATACATCGCAAGACCCTTAGAGTGGTAACTTGTCATTTGGTGCCTAAAGGGCAGAGAACAGCATGTCATTTGGAGGCACTTGAGCCCTGTAGACTTTGGTTCCCCTGATGTCATGCTACACCAGTTAGGCTTGCCATGCAAACAAAATACAGTATTTGTGCCAGGTAACAGGAGATTCGGGAGTTGTAATAGGAAGTATATGGTTAGGTAACAAATTCAGTAGAGTTAGATATTTAGATTTATGCCCATGAGATGAGGTGTGGTGCATAACAGATGCTGAAAAAGGCTGACATGGAGGTTTATTAGCAAGGTCTGCAGCTGACAGCATACATTGACTGTAAAGGTGAAAGTTACTTCTGACAAAAAAATAAAAACAAACGCAGTACAACAGAAAGAGAGAAAAACAAAGGAAAACACTCAGCAGCTGGCTGGGGAGAGCAGTGACAGCTTCCAGGCATCCTCCTCTTAGGGGTAGGGAGTTGTCTCTTCAGTGCAGGCAGGGGAAGTGAAGATAATGATGGCAATATTTTGCCATGCTTTTTTCCCAGCAGTATACTTTTATCATCAAATTCACTCAAACACCCTATTCTTGTTGTTTCCCCTTGCCATGTTTATGACCATTTGTGCTGACTGGAGTATGTTAATCAGGTGCAAATGAAGCATATTCACTGGTCGTTCAGCTTCTGTGCACGTCTATGATTGCCTAATATTTACCAAGTAATTAAATGCCTTGTCTACTTCGCTGGGCACTATATTTGGTTTTCTGGGATATAAACTCAAATCTACACAACACGAGGCAAGGAAAGCTGAGGGGAGATTCTCACACCGGTTCTACTTGCTTCCCACGAGAACCTGCCATAACAATGCTATCAAGATTTGCAGGTGCAAGGCCACACGAGCAACAATCTGAGAACAACAGCACGAGAACAAGACATGAAAAATACTACCACAGAGGCTCTGGAAAACACTGCGTCAACAGCTTCAGGGAAAAGTTACAGAGCTGCAATAGCAGGCTATTAGCATTACTAATGCTAAGGCAGTATGGTTGCCAAGGCGCCATGCACCAGGGATGTGCCTGAATTTTTGTTAATACTCAAAAGGAGCTGTGATGCTCCCAAAAAACACAGATCACACTTCTTCCTTCTTTCCTTACCTCAACTAGAGTCTAACAACACTGGAAAGAATGGATTTTTTTTTTAAAAAAGTCATGTCTGATCTATATGATAATGTTTTACAAAGCTAAATTATTTAAACCCTGCTGGCTAATTTCACTTCTATTCATGGAAGATCTATTAGAACTCAAAACACTGTTCAGTACGTGTAGCCCAAACATGTGTCATACCAGTGCTTGAGAATTAAAACCTGGTCTAGGCCCCTCTCTCCTATAGCCAAATGACACTTTTAGAAAGGCAGACAGCAGACATAACCAAAAGCATATCAAATTTTCTTATAGAATTATTTCAGTAATATATAATTTGTTTACTTCTAGAGTGCTACTGGAATTTTACAAACCAAGAAAAGAAATAACAGGGATCCAAACACAAACAATGATCTACCTGCAAAGACCCAGCTGCAAAAATAAGCCTCGTGTTAATGACAGAAATGTATGTATTTTCAGCATATTCTTAGGACCAAATATAAATGCAAAAAAAAATATATTTATCATTATAAAACTCACCTTTGAGAGAAGATTTTTTGAACTGATGCTATAGCCTTTAAGGCTCTCGTGCAATTTCTGCAGGTGCTGCACAACTCTTCTTTGTTGCTCATCATTCCTCAACTCTTCTTGCTTAATCAAAAAGTCATAATGTTCTAAAGGTCCATTGCAAACCAATAAGGCTCTGGCGTTAGCATCTGTAGGGGTACCGTGGACTGTCTTCTCATCTCCCTGAGCTGTGTATGCTGTAAAATGAAAAGCAGATTACTAATAAAGAATTTTTGATAAGCATCCTCTTACATTCATAAACAACACACATTCTTAACAGTTTACACAAAGACATATATACATTACTTACCTATACAACCACTAGAGTATGTTACCCCTTCATTTGTCATTAAATCAACTTCTAACTTCAGTAGTAAACACCTCTAGTAGTATGTTTTAACATATTTTTTTTTATTATTAACAAGCACACACACTAAAAAGATGAGCTGGAGAGTTGGTGTGATTTGGATGAGTTGTTGCAAGGGAAGTTTTGACTTTTTTTTTTTTGTCCTTCAAATTGGGGCAAAGTAATTTAAAAATTCCAAAGCGCATTTCTCTGAGTAGATTAATCCTCTAGAGAGTGGTGGGCTAAACCAGGCAGAAAGACTTTAAAAGCCAGCAAACAGGAGACCAAAACACTAAAACTTGTTCTGTAAGCAAGTTGAAAGAATCAAAGACCACACCAAGCAAGGTGATAGCTGCAAAACCCTGCGATGCCACAGCCTGCTCTGCAAGCACTATCATCTTCCAAGAAGAGACAGGGCCATGCCCAAGTAGGAATTCTATGTATTAAAAAAAAAAAAAAAGTCAGAATTGCTAGACATAAAATGAGATATAACAAGGAAAAGAAAGAACATACAGAATTACAAAGAAGGCTTGCTAAATCAGTAAGATCAGATATTTAATAACAGAATACACTAAAATGGTGTTTAATATCTTCTTTGCTTCCACTGCCATTTAAAAGGTTAAGTGTAACCTCAAGTAACACAATCTGTAGCAATAATAAAAGAAATAGATTTGCATAGGAAAAACACATATCATAGACTACATAGTTAGATATTTTGAACATTGTGAGGTCTAAGGAAATTTACTCCTCAACGCTTTAGCTAAGTTTCCTAAGGAACACAGTGGCCTCTAACAGCTTTCTCTGAGGCCTCACTGAAGGCAGGTGAGGTTCCAAAATAACATGAAAATGAAACATCTTTTGTCTTTAAAAAGGAGATTAAGGCAAATCCAGAAATTCATAGGTCAATCAAAACAACTTCAAAACAGTCAAAAATACCGGGAAAAGTACAAGCAGATTTATTTTTTTTTTTTTTAAATAAAACACTTAACAAGATAACAACATAACAAATAAAAGGCAACACCTCCTCAGGCACAGTACAAGATCAACAAGTTTTCCCTCTCTGAACAGGTAACGTGCTTAGGGGGTAAAGGAAAAACATCTTAACTGCAGTAACACTTTTGTCATTGGGTCACATAGCATTCTCACATATAACGTAGGTAAGTAAGTTGCAAATGAAATGACTTTTGAGCAGGTACAAAAACAGCTAGAAAAACTACATATAATGAATAATTACTACAGTTAAACCAGGTGCATATTTGCAGTAGAGTTTCAGAGAGGGCTCAGAATTCTAACTTGGTGCAATCCAGAATTTCCATTCATGACCTGTGTATGGCAAAATAAAGTACACAGACTGGCCACACAGATAACAGCAAGTCAAGAGGGGGACTGCAAACACCCTGGAAGGCAAGGCAAGTCTGACAACCTGACAAAGAATCTAATACAAATGGGACGCAATTCAACAGGAACAAAGTACAGTGGTTAGGGGAAATAAGTAACTGAACAGATGGGCAACGACCAGCTAAAGAACAGCTCTGCAGAAAAGGATCCAGGGGCTACATTGGATCGCAAACTGACACTGACATGAATATTAGAGAAAAAAATAAAAGAAAAAAAGATGCAAGTACTCTGATGTATATATATGAGGGAGCAATATCAGCACACATAAAAAAAAACCTGTTCTATTCAATACTGGTATAGTTTGCCCTGGAACACACTCTTCAGTTTTCACATCATATTTCACGAGAGGTATGAATTAAATGGGAGAGCAGAAGATGATTTAAAGAACTATTTATTAAACCATTGGTCACAACCCAGAGAGAAGTTGTAAAAGGCACAAGAAGAGTTTTAAATTGTTCTAAGAAACATAAAATGAGTATAGTTATAAAAGAGAAGGATAAAACTGAACAATTAGATCAAATTATGTTTATTTATTGTAAGTAACACCTTAGTTTCTCCAAAGTAAGACAGTTGCTGTTACATCTACACACAATAATTACACCAAATTCTTCTGCCCTGAAGGGAGTTACTGCTATGAATCAAAAGTAATTAGCTCATCCCTAGCTAAAGAGATCACATAAAGAGAGTCGAGTTCAAAGTCTGTTATTGCAAACATTTGAGTAAAACCTTTAGACACGACTAAAGAAAAGCACATAGCTATCTCCAGATACACACAGGCTACTGAGAAAAGGAAATAAACTGTATTTATACAGTTACTTTAATAACTGTAATTAAGGCAGTGAAATCGATTAATAGTCTAGAAGTCATAAAACTTTCATTGATGGGGAGTGAATTTTAAAAATAAGTTTGACAAAAATCTGTCAGGAACAAGTCAGCAATACCTGACCCTAGCTGATTTAGGGATGAGAAAGGGTTTGTGGCTCATGACCTTCCTGGCCATGGACAAAGCACACCAGCAGGACTGCTCAGAACTGTGGGTTTTGTCTCAGATTACATGTACTTACAGCTAACCATCCTGGGAGTGGAATAAAATACTTTGACATTAACAGATGACAGAGATGGAGAGTATGCGCAAGTGATGACAGAGGCTGACGTAAGACAAATTACTCACTGTTCTCCTAAAATAATATCGAATGCTGCGATTCAAATATGATGGGGGTACACTATAATACACTACCTGGAGAAACCTAGTAACCTGTAAGGGATAAACTCAAACTTGTAGCTGCAAAACAAAGGCATATGCTCTTAAAGTGTGTAGGGGGTTTAGAGGTAAGTCAACAGAAGAAAATTATTCAAGTGACAAACTATCCTAAGAGACAGAAAAACATGTGGGTCTTCCATTCTAATCTGCATTTTGTGGGACAGATTTCAAAATCATTCACCCAACTGTGCTTCTACATTAATCTATTCCCAAATTCATAAAGAAAAGGAAACTTTAGGAATTTTAATACATAGCTGAGGAATACCAGGCAATTACCTTCCGTAATTTTACAGCAAGGAAACTCCTGTTAGAATAGGAAACACCTATGATTCTGTGCATTAATCGTAGTCCTACAGCCTTCTCCTCCATACTGCAAAAGATGGGTTTTCATTTATGTTCTCCTGTTTCGTTATCTAATCTTTGTATTACGTAAACTGTTACTTCATTTTTATTAGCTCCCCTGTGAAATCTTTAAGTATCACACACAGAAAAAGCATTTTCTCTCTCTATGTAGTGTTCTAGATACAACTATAGAAAAGTGCAGCATCAACTAGTTATTCACCTAGTTTTACATGAAACAGTGTAAAACTACAGATACGTGATTCTTTCCCACATCCGGGGTGCATGACAGTATCGGATGTCATCACATCTAGCCTGACATTAGCTGCTTCTTTAGAGTTGCCACCAGGTTGCAACTTTTTATTAAATTCCTGGTCCTAAAACATACATATTTAATTGTAATCTCACTTTACTTCAAGCCATAAAATTAGCTACTTGCATTTGCCTTTCTGCTCGCCTATCCAAGGATCACAGACCAAGCTGCAGCAAAGACCTGCTGTGATACACACAAAGTCCTGCCTTGGAGAAATCTGAGAGGAAAGACTCACTAAAGCCAAAAAACCTTATTAATGTATAAATGCCTAATGAAAATGCCAATCCGAAATTATAAAAATCTCCTTTAAAGTGGGGGAAGTTAAGACACATTCAGTAAACTGGCATTAATTTACCACTGCAAATATAAGTGCCTACATAAAAACATGAAAAGAAAAAGTGGTCTTAACTCCAGGGACCTTCTGCTCTGGAAAAGAGCAGCAAATTGAAAAAAACTAATCGCTATGTTGTCGAGTCTTCCTACTGCCACTTAGAACTGATGTCTGAGATGACACAGGAAAAAGGCATGCAAGTTTCAATGACACTGCTTATGAAAGCAATAGTCACAGCTGAGGCAGGCACTAGAGTTATTTATGTAAGAAGACAATCTGAAATGGAAGCTGAGTTGTGGCATATCAAAAACTGATCTTGACAGTAGCCAGGAGATTGAGAGCACAGAAGGGTAACTGAGGTAAACACCAATCACCCTGGTAAGCCTTATTTTTTTCCTAGTAGTTGCATTTCATTATGTAAGGTTGTGAACTGCTATGTCTAAAACCTGTCAGGAGAGAATTCCCATGACAAAAATCCCAGCAGGTCCTTGTTTCCTCTGTATTTCAGGGCCTAGGAAAAGAACCTGGGCTTCCCTGACACAAATTTTACCTTTGCCATCTTTCCATGACTGCAGAAACCGACACCTTTGAATTTATTAATATGGGACTTTTCAAGTAACACAAAAAGATTTCATGTCAATTTAAGATGATTATTCACTTCTGAGAGAGAAAAAGTATTGTACTTTCACAGATGAATTAAAATTTGGTCTGCAAGATCTCTTACTGCCCTCAGACTAAACAACTTCTAAACACATGATTAGACTCGTAGACCTTCAATAGGATGAAAAAGAAAAACCATGATGGATAGATAATATCCGGCTAAAAAGCAAAGATTAAACAAACAGAAATGAACACCTTCTATTGCAAAAGGTAAGTCATGCTTCAGATTACAATATTCACCTCACTAGAGGGTCACTCACATATAGTACACGTGAAAATGTGTATTATTAATTCTGGTAACAAAGTTGAAACAAGCACTTCAGGGGACTGAGGATGAAAAGAAAAAAAAAAAATCAGCTTTAACCCTTGCGCTATATGTATGCTTCAAGCCACTCCCTCATGGGAATGATTAGACATAGTTTTCATTCATGGAGATTAAGACTGAAGACAACATTGACCTTTCTAAGTATAAGGGAAGCTAAATTTATCTAATTACCCTGAACTATGCTCAAGAATTGTGTTTGATTACAGCTTATTTTGAAGAAAATA